GGGAAAGGGCGGGCATGCGGGATATGATACGACGAGGAGTCGGCGCTCGTTGTCGATCCGATCGACGTGTTAGCTTGGGCCGCGTGAACGTCGCGTTGTCCGCCACCGCGGGCTCGCGCTCGCGATCGAGGCTACTCACGTTGTTCGCGTCATAGGGCTTCGCATTGCGCGACGACGGCCGCCTGCCGGCCGGATTGCCGCTTCCCTTGGACATCCTTGAGTCCGGTTAAGCTTGGATCGCTTCACCGCACTGCACTACACTGCACGATAATCGGTTACGAGACGCGCGCGCGCGACACGATCATCGCCTCCTTGAAAATTGTCTCGCCGTTGGAACAGCACCACCTTCTCTCTTGCCAGTGAGACCCACGAGAGGAAATATGGCCGAGCTCGGCCCCGAAACCGCCACCCGCCACTACGGCGCTACGGGGCTTCCTTCGAATCGCGTTCGATGCGCCTGTCCCGCTGTCCACGTGACACGCGCGTTGCGCGCTGTCCTGCATCCGCTATGTGCGTAGCGCTCCTATTAACGGTATGTAACTATCGAGATTATTACAGTATGTCAAAGAGAATAAAAGCGATAAAATATATTTATAATTAGTAATCCTATATATAACGGTTATAGAGATAAAAAATGATTGGACAAACGTCGATGATATGAACGCAATGGCGCGCGCTAAGAAGCAATGTGGTAACCAATCACACGACGTTACACATTATTTTCGCAAGAATAGCGGATTGATTGGTCGTCCCGTGAATCACGTGTTACTTCCTTAAGCGCGTATCGTGTCCTTTGTGCAGGAGCTTTAATGCACGTTAATGTTGGTGTCGATGTAGTAACTGACAGTTTTATTTACGTTACTTGTATAAGGTATGTAAATAGAAGCATTCGTTAATTCAATGATTAAAGTGATAATATTTTGTATACTTCTTTTTTATTTAGAAAAAAGAATTGAAAGATTTGTACAAAAGTGTTCGCTATTTCAATAATTGTTATCTTTTCTCTAACCTCTATATTTTTAAAAAATGTTTAATATATTACATTGCATTAAAAATATATTACAAATTGTTTATTCTTTATAAGAAGAAAAAGAATTTAAATATTCTCATATATGTATAATTTTATGTATATTTTTATTAATTTCTTATTTGGTAACAATAAAAATAATAAAAAATATTCTCGAATGTTGTGC